CTCGGAACTCTCCTTAAGTTTGACATTCTCACTTCACATGCTTTGAGTTTCTTTGTGAGTTGTCATTCAATTTGAATAAGTTAAGAGATTCCTATACAATTTTTCATAAGCTTGCTCAAGCTCTTCATGATCACTCTCCGAGGATTCATCATCAGTGATATTCTCAACTGATATCTTCGAGAATCTATTTGTCCTTCAGCTTCGGAAGCCACCATGAAAGCAAGGAATTGTTTATGTCCCTCTTCGCCTTGATCTTCTTTGTCACTTTCATCTTCATCAGATTCTGATTCATATCCCAAGTGATGGCGAGGGCTTTTCTCTTCCTCAAACGAGTAGGGCATTCTGAGCAAAGTGGCCAAATCCTTGGCATTCATAGCATTGGAGTCTTTCAGAGTTCCCTTGTATCTTTCCTTTCTCCTTCTGGCTATAGGATTAAATTTTGAGTTTATCTTTGCCTTTAGATTATATGAGAATGAGTTAGATTCCAAAAGATTAGGATTCTTTTTCAAAAAAGATTTTTTAAATTGTTTAACAAAAGCAGCCGTAATCTTGGAATCTATATCACAATCCTCATCAGAATCCTCTCTAACTTTATGAGCACTACTAAAAGCAATATCTTTTTGTTTCTTTTTGAAATTCCTGTGTGCCTCATAAGTTTGGAGATTTCCAACCAACTGATCCAGCTTGAGGTTGTCAAAATCTTGAGCCTCCTCATAGCCGTAACTTTTGGTTGGAACCGATCGGGCAAGGATCTCAAAATTTTTCCCACAACTTGGATTCTGGAATTTTTTCACCTAAATTGAAGCTGGAATTTACAATGTCACTCAACATCGCATAAAATTCATCAAAGGTCTCACTATCTTTCATTGAAAGGTTTTCGAAACTAGATGTGAGTCTTTGAAGTTTTTGAGCGTTTAACAGAAGGAGTGCCTTCATGAATAGTTTGTAAGATATCCCAAGCCTCTTTTGCGAATTCACAATTACAAATACGACTAATTCTTCAGGTGTGACACGCGCAAAAGAGAGAATTGATAGCTTTACTATTCCAGCTACAATTTTGGTAATCAGTTGTGTCCCACTTATCAATTGGTTTGGGGATTGTAACTCCATCAACATTAATTGTTGGTTCAGTCCACCATTCATGACGGATTGCCAAACTTTTTCATCAATAGATTTTAAAAAAGATCTCATCCGAGCTTTCCAAAAAGAATAATTGGATCCGTCAAGTAGGGGTGGTCGAACCATAGAATTTCCTTCACGAATTGTATCCATTATCACAAATCAAACAAGATCTCGTTCTAAAAGAATTTTTTTTTAAAAAAAAAAATAGAACGACCCGCTCTGATACCAATTGAAAAATCTAGAAATCCCTAGATGTTGATTTGTGATTATGTATCATTTTAAGCAGAATATAACAATCCCAATCAAACAATCAAGACAAAGAGACACAACGATTTTAACGTGGAAAAAACCACAATTGGACACCTCCAACTGTGATAAAAAAACCACAGGCAACTGCCACAAAACAATCACTAAGAAGAATTAAAGGAATTACACAGGTATACTCTCAATTATCTAGCGAATCCACAACGCCTAATTGAACCAAACCTCTATGTGCCTCTTCCAACCTATCTTCACCACTCGGAATTGTCTTTACGATGAGCCACCCCGGAATCCACCAAAGCTTCAGGCTCGAATTCTTCAGAATCCACAACTGAAGAACAACTCTCTCTTTTGTAGAACAAAACACAACCTTTGATGTACTCTCTTTAAACCATGAGTTGAATACTCAATAAAACATCAAAGAAAACTCACAAAATATCTCCAGATATAAACCTTAAGATCCAAAAAGAAGATCTGGAGAAGTTCAATCAAAAAACCTAGTTTTGGGAGAAAACCAAGTTTTTATAGAGAACCAAAAAGTAATCCTAGATTCAGAAGAAAACCAACTCTTTAATCAAATCTGGAAATCTGGATCCGCGATCTCCGCTCGAGCTCAACACAGCCCGCTCGAGCGGACTAACCAAAAACTGTGTGCGAACAAACTAAGATGCGCTCGAGCGTAGGATAATCCGCTCGAGCGTAAAATCACACTCACCAGTATTTTTTCAGGCATTGCAGAGATACTGTGAGCTCGCAAACCCCGCTCGAGTGCCCTTTTCCCCGCTCGAGCGGGAAGGCCAAAACTGAAAAACTGGAAAAATATAACACGATCGGACAGGCAGCTCGATCCCCGTCATAATCAGCGAAGTGGCAATCTTGAAAGCATTAGCATCACAAACTTCTCTGAAAAGCACAATTCGGGCTGGATTCGCATCTAAACACTCATAGCCTCACTGAAATAAATGTGCGAAAATAAATACAACTGAAAGGAGTTTTGTCAAACGGGATTGCCAAGAATAAAACCTAACACTTTTTGACCTTGAATGTTAATTTTTGTTAGAAACCAGTTCAGAGTACTTAGTTTTTCAAGGCTTGAGGCGAAACAAATTTACGCAGCCAGTGATTGTAATTGTATTGGTTCTCTCATTTTATTTGCGCAAGCCTGATTTTTTTTCTCTCCCAATCATTCAGACGCAAACAAGAATATGGCTTAGAGAAGTCCTTCACAAGCGATTGCATGACCAGCTGACAATTTCTGATTTACTTGCCGATGGGGAGCTGCTGTATGTTTTTTTTCTCTTATGTATTGTGACACGGCATATATATTAGATACTAGATGTGCATGCTTCCATCTCTTATAGTGTCTGTGCATTGTCAGCTATCCTATAGGATAAAACAATGTTCCTTTTCTTGACACATGTTACTATATTTAGGAGAAGCATGTTACCTAATGTCCTGCCTTTTCTTGATATTAGTACTTCTTGTTCACACTCCTTTTCGTAATTCTGTGTTTTTTTCTTTTTGGTTTGTGTGTGAGATTGTGGTGTGCTTCCTTAACATAAATGCTTTCGAAATTGCCTTGGTTATGTCATGAAAGTGAATATAGGGAAAAGTTCAACCATCTACCTCTTAGGATAAAACTTCGTAAGTATTAGTATTTTGATTTTAATAGGAAAGCATCAGAATTTAGTTTCAATACGAATTAGATAATCTAAATTATGAATTATGTTCAAGATCAATATGACAAATAATATTGCCTTGATTTGAATGCTCATAAAGATATGAACACCAGCACACATTTTATACTATCTCTCTTAGTGTGTGTGTGTGTGTGTGACTAACACAGATTCTCTGTTGCATGTGCAGTGTAGTTGCAACTACATATTGTGTTGATTTTATTCTAGTGGAATCTGTTAATGTTGAAAGGCTTTTTGTGCTTATTCTTGCCTTGTTTTCTTTGTACATATATTCCAATATTACAGTGAAATCAACACTGAAGGGCGACGATTAACAAAACTTGACCAAGCGGATTGTTGACAAAGCTGCTTTTTCCTGAATGTGAGTTTTTGAAAATATTGATTATGTTGATAATGATCTGTTTTTTGTGGTTTTGTTGTGAATTGGGTTTGTTTGTGAAACAGAGGGTTGAATTGTTTCTTTGCAAGGCGCCTACTTGTGTTTAAAATCTTCCAGGATCTTGGACTTTGTGTTTCTTCAATTTTGATTTTGTTGCCATTTTGAAGACTCAGATTTAGAGTTGTGGCAGTGATTTGCTTCGTATTTGGAAGCAATATTATTCCAGCTACTCTATTGTGATTTTTTGTGCATATGTAGATGTTCCCGCGTCTTGCAGAGGAAATTTGTTTCATCCTTCTTTCTTGGGCATCTCTTGAACCCACACTTTTAAGAAATCGCATTATGTTTAAGATTTTGAAATCTTAAAAGTTTTGAAGTTTTATGTCAATATATCTTATTGACTACATGTTTAGTTGCTGATGAGTAGTCACAAGTCACTGATTAGGTTGTGGTTTGAGACTTATTGATGTCTCTTGAGTCCTCTTGATCCAGTGCAGAAGTTTTTTAACATTTTTATCATTTGAAGGAACTAGTAAATGGTTGTCTGTTTTCTCTTGTATTTTGCTGTCTTTCAGAATAGCATTGTCAACATGGCCCTGCCTTGTGGAAGTGATAGCGATGAATTTCTTATTGATGGCCTTGATGATGATTCTTCCCATAGAGGGGCTTCCTGATTTTGGAGGAGCCACTTCAAGTTTATTTGATTTTTCAGATTTTTGTAGGTTTTCTTTGGAATGTTGTACTATATTTGTATCTATATTTTGCCTTATGCTTCAAATTGTACGTTGGGTTGTGATAAATTTGTCTTAGTTTGGTAGTAAAATTAAGGTCCGTGCCTTGAGCTCATTGTACTCATCTCTATTTTGGTTATAAAATTTCTTTCCGAATAGTGAGAAAGTGTGTTGAGAAAAACATCTCAATTTTTCAAAAAAGTGATATCTTTTTCTTAAATATATCACAATTTTTATGAAAAAACTGAGATTATAACTTGACAAATGGTCACAATTGAGATCTTATTGCTACTATCATTCACATTTTTAACATTTGATCTCCAATTTTTAAGCTTTTTATCACGGTTAAAAATTGTGACGGAAAAATTGCACAAACAATCACACATTCATCCATCACAAAGAAAAAAAATAAGATTGAAGGTTAACTGTGACCTTTAATCAATTTTGTAGTAGCGTTGGTGGTATGAAAAAATTTATATTATTAATTTCTCTTGGAAAGCTCTATGGTGTGCACTTTTGATGGGTGTATAAATTGACGCAATTTTATTAAAAATTTTATAATATCAATCATAAAATGCGTAATCTTGTAACAAATTAGCGTAATAAAAATTGTCGTAATTAAGCCATAAACTTTTGTTATATGAACTACAAAATTTGAGATATTTTGTTACGTTAATTTGTGATGAGGTTAAGCATTTTATAGTTGATATTACGAAATTTTATAGTAAAATTATATCAATTTGTGATGGAATGCATATGGTATGCACCCCTAAATATGCTTTCCCATTTCTCTTTCAATGACATGGCACAATTTAAAATTTACGAAAGAGAAACCCCGTGCACCCCCTTACGAGTGCATACCATATGTACTCTATTACGAATTAGTGTAGTTTTATCACAAAATTTTGTAATATTAATCACAAAATACGTAATCTTGTCATAAGTTGGCATAATAAAAAATATCGTAACTAAGTCAAAAACTTCAGTTATATGAATCACAAAATTTTAAATATTTTATTAGATTAATTTGTGAGAAACTTTCGTACTTTGTGATTGATATTATAAAATTTTATAATAAAATTATTCTAATTGTGATAGGATGCATATGGTCGGCAGCCATAGGCTTGGATTTGGAGTGGCTGTTGTGCACTGCTGTGTTGCTAAATGGGCCTATTTCGAGATCCATTTTAATAATTCATACCGTTCACATTTTAGAGTACATCGATTAGAACACACCTGCAAAAAATTAAATTAATCAGATATCGTTAACTCTTTCATCTACTCACATCTGTATTCATTTTAATACTTTAAATCACAATTGTCATTTATTTTCGTATATACAAATATAAGTGAATGAAAAGATTAACAATATTCGATTAACTTGATTTTTTATAGATATATCATATTCGATGTATTTTAAAATATAAATATTTTAAAATTTCAAAATAAATTCCAAAATAAACCCATTTGACTAAAGAGTAGTGGCTCCAGCACAACAGCCCCCTAAATCATAGGCTTTCCCTTACGAAAATAACAAAATTTGATTCCGACGGCCAAGTAGATTACTCCAAAGTCGGATTGATTAGAAGGTGGTTTCACTCTGCTGCTTTTAGTTTTCAAGGTATGAGATTCCCAGCAAGTAAAAGTAAAGTTGTGAGCTTTTGTTTTCTCTTTAATTACTTTTGGCTTTGCAATGCTGCTTTCAATATATGGATCCAAAATCAAGAAGTCACTTGCTCCTTATACTTCTTCACTCTGATAGATCTTTCTTCAATTCTCTTTTGGTTCGACACCACCAACCCATTTCAAGATTCTCTGCTCAATCACCAGATCTCCCGCAAAAATCCCAATTTGTTGGCTTCTTGTCATCACAGAAAACTCACCATCTTTTCCTTAGAAACCAGTTGTTTCTTTCATTTTTATTCTTAATGTTAAATATACCTGGTTCTTGATGTTTGAGACTCGTATCTCTCCAATAGCTGTGGACAAATTCAACTTTGGCTTCCACAAGTCTTTCTGATTTAGGTCCCAATATCTAATCCTCCTTTAGACCACTCAAATTGAGATAGAAGCACCGGAAAGCAGTAAATAAACTGTGTATGAGAGAGATTAATGACTGAAAATTATTCTGTCACGAGGAAACTGAAGTATCTAATAAAGAGTGAGGACAAATTGATGGCAGATGAAGAGAGGGATGAAATCGAATCTTTTTACAATCGGCTAAGATTCCTAGGAGCTATTCTCAAGGATATGGAGGAGAAACACCATGAGGAGAAGGATGAAGGAGAAAGCCTGGCTATGCAAATTAGCTATGTGACCTACAAGACAGCAGAATTCCTCAGCTTTTTTGTTGCCGAAGTTGCAAAGCAAGGGACAACAACAATGGTAAAAGCATTTGTTTGTTTGATTTTTTAAGCCTCACAAATATCCTGGAACAGATTAAGCCCATCGAGCTAAAAGGTAGAAATTGCATGTGGATTAGGTAAATTGAAACTAATCTAATGTTAGTTGTCATTGAATATGACTATGTTTTAAATACATTGTATATGTATGATATTTGGGAGGAGAAATGGGATGTACTACATTGTTTGGGAGGAGATAGGAGATGGATTCCATTGAAATTAAGTTGGCCGGAGTGTACAGGGTGAAAGTCCCGAAATCTTGTGTATGCATGGGTGTCAATCCCGAGGATGAAATTTTTGTAAAATGGCATATTTGAAGTGTTTGTGTGGTAATTGTGTTGATTAGATAACCACTGAGTTATAGTCTCAGTTGGGTTGTTGAAAGATAATGAAATTGGCTAATGAATTGAAATGAATTGAAGAAAGTGGAATACGATATGAACTCAGTACTTCTTGATAATATAAAAATGTAAATGGTTTTTCACAGACATTGCATAAGCACATTGTACTTATATCTTTATTAAATCTCATATATTGTGTTAGATTATTCCTGTTAGGCTTTGGCTCACTCTATTTGAGAAAACCATTTTCAAGTGTTGGTGATATCAATAGCTTGGAGGGACCTATGGGAGCAACAACTTCTTTCTTTTGTTATATTTTGTATGGCTAAAGGCTTTAAATTGTATTGAGCTAGGCTTATTTTTGTGTAACTAAGCAATGACTTGGAAAGATGTATGCCTATGGGGCATATTATTACCTATTTAGTTTTCAATTCTCTTATCATTGGAACACATGCTGTAGATTCATGATGAATATTTGTGAATGTATATTGCATGTGTTAACATTTGTAAACGAACTCTGATGAATGAAAACATTTTATTTCTATTATTCTTCCGCTTATGAATCGGATATATTATATTATTTAGGGGCGTTACACTTCCCTCAGAAATATTTATTGACTTTTATTTTATACAATCTTGCATCGAGAAAGAAAAAATGAGTTATTTCACTTATATTATATAAGGAAAATGAGGTTTTTATAGAGAAGATTTTTAGAAGCTCCAAACACTTATTTTAAAATTATTAAATTTTCTTAATTTTAAACAGTTAAAAAGTTCTCATTGGTTAGTTTTTAATTAACTTTTATTTTACAATCCCACATCAAAAAAGAAGGAAAAAATGAATTGTTTCAATTATATAAAGTGAATCTTATGTTACAATTTATATAAATTATTGAATTTTCTTAATTTTGAACAATTAAGAAAATTCTCATTGGCTAGCTTCCATTTAATTTTTATTTTACAATCTCATATCGAGGAAAGAATGAAAAAGTGAACTGTTTCACTTACATAAAGTGAATCTTATGCTCCCATTTATATAAGCAAAATAAGATTTTTAGTGAGAAGCCTTATGATCAATATCTTATACTAATTTTTTTTATTTTCTTAATTTTAAACAATTAAAAAAATCCCAATTGGCTAACTTCCAATTAACTTTTATTTTACAATCCCACATAAAGGTTTTGATTTTAAAAATAATTTTGTATGAAATTTTGAAACTCTCATAATATCTCTCCTTAAAAGTATTCTTTGTAAAATATATAGATATATTGATAATCTCAATGTCACTCTTACTGATCCTTAATACTAAAATTATGAGATAATTATGATAATTTAAATTTGTATTTAAAACTTATAATTATGGAATAAATTATCATAATTTTAAATTTATATTGTGTCAATTTTAAATTTAAATTAGTAGATTGCTTTTCATATTTAGTGACAGTTTAAATTTTAATAAAATAAAATTTAAAAGTTTTAATTAATTATTTTTGTGTAAGCTGGTTGATCTTTTGACTTAACTAATTAAGTTAAACCATTTTTTGTTTGAATGATTTGTTAGTTTAATCGTGATTTTAGCGGTTTTACATGTTACGATAATCTTTCTTACTCATTAAGTTTTAAAATTTCTTTAATTATTTCCCTTTTAAAAACCAATATGACAATTTTTAAAAATTCATATATTTTTATTATAAAATAGTGAAATATTAGAACTATGTCATTTTTTTTATAACAAAGCATAATTTTAATTATTAATTGTCACTACAACAATTTTAATCTATCTATATTATATGTTATAGTAAAAAAAACATTTCAAACAAAACCCTTAAACTTATATATAAAATTTTATTTATGAGAGACAAAGTATAAAAAAATTAAATATAAATATCATATTTTTAATAAATAATATATTATTTTATCTCGTGCATAGCAGGGGTGATATGCTAGTACTACTATAATAAAATGTGTTTTGAAATCGTAAGAGGGGCAATCACCCCTTATTACTGTAACAACCATGACCCATGATTAACATATAAACCATGATTAAGAATGCCTAATAAGTAATAAAGGTGAAATTTTGCATTAATTGCATGTGTCATATGTTATATGAGATTCTATCTGTTTTATGTAGGAATATCTATTTGTGTTTCTGTTCTGTTCTGCGAATTAAAGACCTTATCGGCATCCGATCATAGAATTGACTTGATTTCTGTGTTAGTTAGAATTTTTAGAATTTTATGGTAGGTTGAATTAAAATTTGATTCGAAACGATTAAATTAGAATGATTAATGTTCATTTGATTAGCCTTAACCAATCACCATTAATCAAGCCTATATAAGGCTCCTTTGTGCCACCATTCATCTCTTTCTTCATCACAACTT